CGCCCGAGTAGCCAAACTCAGGCACGACATAATTGTTAGGAGTATGACTCAAATAGGAGTCTTTTGAAGAGACGTATTCGACTTGGACTAGGAGAATATTAACCTAGAGCTTCAAGGAAACTAAGTTGAATAAAAATAAAATTTTATTGAAATTGAGTCTCCTAATTGTAATATGTTTTCTTGCCTTTTAGGATTCTTCTAGGGTTGGCCTATAAATACGAGGCTTCTCTGGTCAGTCTGAAGTGAGTAACAAATAGAAGTCAATTGCTAGATTGTCTTGTATTCTCCATATTGTTCAATTCAATAAACATCATTCCTCTGCGTTAATCCTTTTTGTTCGTCTTTACTTTAAATCTTGTTTTCGTTGTGTGATCTTGTTTACTTCAATATTGCTATTAAATCTCATTCTTTACAATTCGATTTGGGATCAACAAGTGGTATCGAAGCTTCTGCGCCCAACAAGTGGTATCAAAGCTAGACTACTGATTTTCTATAGATTGGTTGAGATTCTTTTGGGATGGCTGGATTGAAGTTCAATATTCCGTAATTAGATCGTAGTACAAGGTTTTCTTTATGACAAGTAAAGATGAGGGCTATTTTGGCGCAGTTGGATTTGGAAGATGCGTTTTTGAGTTTAGAGTGGATGTCAGCTAGATGGACAACAAAGGAGAAACAATCGAAGGATCGGAAGGCTACGTCATTGATTCATCTTCATTTGTCCAACAACATTCTACAGGATATCTTGAAGAAGAAAACGACGACTACTTTGTGGTTGAGGTTGGAGCAGTTGTATATGACTAAGAGTCTTACAAGTAAACTGGCTTTTAAGCAGAAGCTGTATTCCCATCATATGGCGGAAGGAGAGTCATTGGAAGACCATATTACCGTGTTCAATGAAATAGTTGCAGCTTTGGAGACGTTGGAGGTTAAGTACAATGAAAAGGATCTTGCCTTGATCCTGTTGTGTTCGCTGCGTGGGTCTTATGCGTCATTTTGTGATACCATCTTGTATAGTCGAGATATTTTAACTGTAGACGATGTCTATGATGCTTTGCACTCAAAGGAGAAGATGAAGCATTTGGTTGGAGCTACCTCAAGGGATGAGGAAGTTCTTGTATCTCAAGGTGGTCGACGAAGAGGCAGATTGAAAGTCAACTTTAGCAATGTGTATTGTTACTACTGCAAAAGAAAGGGACATATTCGGAAGGATTACGATATGTTGTAGGCCAGAGGTGATTTAGCTGCAAATCGTGGAGCGCAACCTTTGATTTCAGACGAAATCAATGTAGTTGAGGATTTTTCAGATGACGAAGATGTGATATTGATCATGGTATCTGATGTGGAATCTAGGCCTAACAAAGAGTGGATTCAGCATGTTCGTGTCATATGTGTTTCGATAGAAATTTATTTCAAACATATAAGGCTGCTCAGCAAGGTGGAGTTGTAATGAGAAATAACTAGTCTTGTCGTATTGTTGGAATTGGTCGAGTCAGATTGCGGTTGCAAGATGGGACGGTCAGGACACTTGATCTGGTTTGACATGTTCCAGATCTAAAAAGGAATCTCATCCGTTGAGTGCCCAAGATTTAAAAGGGTATAAATTCTCTGGAGAAAGTGGAGTCCGAGTTGTACTGGAGGGACGGAGAAGATCTCAGTTGTACATTTTGCAGGGGATTGCAGATATAGTTAAGATGAGACATTTGAACAAGTTTAATACTGTGGTGGAAGTTCAGTTTGGTACAATACCTTTTGTTTTGGGCTCTAAGTCAGTTCAGAACACTACTAGGAAGAGCGTTGGCGATTCCACTTTGCCATCAATTTCAGCGGGTACACTATGTTTAGTTGCTGAGGTTGGATTCATCGAGCGTAGGTACGGTGGGGTCAATAATGTCTGTGATGCTTTTGGGGATGTTGAAGGCAACAATTCCAGCAAGGGGCTTTCTAATCAAGCATCTGGTTTGGTTCTTGTTACAGGGTGTGCTTCGACCCTGTGTGATCAACATTAATTCCTTGGTGGAATTGGGAACCCTGGGTTTAGGTTCGGGTGTCGGTTGTGGACGTCGGGCAGAGGACGAGTGTTTGGTTTATATGGAGTGGTTATTGTGTTGAGGAGATTCGGCCAATTTATTTCGTTGCAAACAGATTTGAAATCTAGGAGTTTCGTTCGTTACACTAGAATTTGAGTTAAGATGGAGATTGTTGGGAGTATGACTCAAATAGGAGTCTTTTGAAGAGGCGTATTCGACTTGGACTAGGAGAATATTAACATAGGGCTTCAAGAAAACTAAGTTGAATAAAGAAACAAAATTCTGTTGAAATTGATTCGCCTAATTATAATATATTTTCTTGCATTTTAGAACTCTTATAGGGTTGACTTATAAATACGAGGTTCCTATAGTCAGTTTGGAGTGAGTGACAAATAGAAGCCAATTGCTAGATTGTGTTGTATTTTTCATATTATTCAGTTCAATAAACATCATTCCTCTGCGTTAATCCTTTTTGTTCTTCGTTACTTTAACTCTTATTTTTGTGGTGTGATCTTGTTTACTTCAATATTGTCATTAAATTTCATTCTTTACAATCTAGTTTGGGATCAACAAGTGGTATCGAAACTTCCACGCTCAACAATACCACATTCCAACAATTCGAATTTGAAAACTTTCATGAGGCTTGGGAGAGGTTCAAGGATATGCTTCAAAAATGTCCAAATCATGGAATCACAATGGGGCAACAAGTGAATTATTTTTATGTCGGGTTGACTCCTTCTTGTCGTTCAAATGTAGATTCATCATCTAATGGCTCAATCAAGAAGAAGAGTATTCGGGAAACATATGATCTATTTGAGGTCATGAGTGAGCAAACCGTTATTTGAATCAACTCTCGTGTAATTGGAATAAACACTCTTCGAGGAATCGACTCAGACTCAAAAAGTCTATTCTATTGCTTGTGCGTGACCCATGCACTTGCGGTGTAGTATTTTAGCGAACATTTGATGGCACACTTTATTGATGTTACTTAAAATTTGAGGAAATGAATTCTTCATTTTCATTAAATTGAATTGTATGAATATGAAATATGGAATATATAAAGTCGTAAGAGTAGAATATATAAAAACTAAATTGAATTGAGATTCTTTTTATTTTTATATTTAAAAAAACCCACCTCCTTTTATTCGGGTTCAGGGACCGACTACTTAATTTTCAAGTAAGCTGAGTTAAAATTGTACATAAACAACTTGTTACGTATACAATTTTATTTTTTGAAATGCATGAATTGGATATTTTGTACTGTAGCTAATAAAGATGAAATGTATACATTGGATAATGTATAGTGTATGTAGATAATAGAGTTGAAAGAATGTATATACTAGAATTATAGTTATGAATGTATGTGTATGTAAAATAATTGTATAGAGTAGAAAAATTGTAGAATAAATTATTAATGAAGGAATTATACTGCAGAGCGAGTTGAAGAAAGAATATTGAATTAGTTGGGAGAAAAAAATGATTTATTGGTGAGGTATTTATAGAAGAAAAAAATTTCATAAACTATTGGAGATCGATTTTTTAACAGATTCATTTAAAGTTTATGACCCTTTTCTTAAACGGTCACAAACTTTGAATGTGACCAAATGGTCACAATTTTGGCTAGTGACTTGTCGAGCTCATGGATCGGCTCTCGGTTTGCTCATAGCCTCAACACGTTGAACTCATGCTTGGGCTCATCTCGAAATAAGCTCGAACTGTCCATCGGTCGAGATTTTTCTAGTTGAGTCATCAAGCCAAAGAGCTAGTCTGCTTGATTGCCACCACCATAACACCTAAGTTGCTAGCGTTTCACATTAATACGAAAAAGAAACAGATCAAAGGGAATAACTCTCCCAAAAGGTGTTCAACCTAGAAGCAACATGTTTAAAAAACCAATAATACTAATTACACCTAAACTGACCTAAATGACAATTAAGTTCACACGTCACTTGACAGGAAAATTGATTGACACAAGACATGCGTCTTACTTGACATGCGTCAAGTAAGAAGTACAATAACTACTATGATTCTTATCACTTTTGGTGAAAGCCATTTCACAAATAGAAACTAAGTTAACTGTCTATCCAAATTTGTTGTTAGTTGTCCCATCAGTTATTTTTATGATCGACATCTGTTTTATTGGTCTTTCAATGATACACAAGATTCTTACTATAGTTTGTTGATGTGAAGCCGTCTAGTCATTTTACAACGTTAATCACAGCAATCGACATCCTTTTTCCTTTTTTGGTCTTTCAATGATACACAAGAATTCTTACTACAGTTTGTAGATGGGAAAGGCATCTAGTCATTTTTCAACATCAATCTTCACGCACAAAACAAAATCGTGAGGGACTCTGTGGAAAATGCTTGTAAATGTATCAATTTTGATTACAGGAAATATGTAATGATTAGAGGTTGAATAATGAATTATAAAGGATTCACAAAGATTGCAAATAAGTTTTGGTAAGAATCACGGAGGAAGTAAAGGCAATCAACGAAGAAAAAATGGCTTTGGCACCTGGAGAAGATGACTTTTGTAATAGTAATTTGGACTTTTGATTCTCAATTTTCTTTGGAAAATGGCTAGGTAATTATGGCATGGAGGCAGAAAAAATTCGTGACTATACACTGATTTTTCCTTTTATTGTGGCCACATGTAGGCCAACGTGCTACACGTTTTAGTGAGAGATCATAGAATTACAATAATATTTCGACTTTCTAATGCAAGTATGTTCGAATCTTTGAACCGGCCTTTAGTGGGCGTCCCTCCAAAATATATTGGAGGTTGTCAACCAAGTCATGAACTTTTTGAGTAGCCATTGATCGTTCCTTACGAGTATTAATAGTTATAAGTTTCTGCATGGTCATAGATCAAAAGAAAAATAAGTGTTAAACAAAGACAACTTTTTACATTCTAATAATGCCACAAACATTATGTACACATCCATTGACCAAGAATTTACATAGTACACAGACAAGGAGGAGAAATTTCTTTTAACACTTGACTAATTACAAAGAGACTTAAGCCAAGCCAACTTGAAGAGGCGGTCCACCGGTCCTGTTAGAACAACTTAAAATAGGTTAAACTATGGCAAAAACTCTAACGTAGAGAAAACAAACTGCGACAGAACAAATTTCATCTCGAGAAAAATTCTATTTTGACTTGGGCATTGGTGGAGGTGTTAGTTAGAAAACTAGTAGTATTGTCCTAAGATATGACAACATGTGGTCCTAAAGTTTTAATATATTCCTCATAGTCCTACAATTTTCGGAATATAATTGGTGCACCATCTTGTGGATGCAACAACATTAGAACACTAGGGGCATGTTTATAATGTGGTGCAAGCTCAAAAGAGAAGCGCTGCAGTAACATGGCAATGCCCAATTTGGCTTGCAAAATGGCCAAATTTTGTCCGATGCAGCGGCGAGCTCCGAGGCCGAAGGGCATGAATGCCAAGGGATGTTTGGCTGCATGGACTACACCATTGGCAAATCTAGCGGGGTTAAATTCATGTACATCGTGGCACCACAACGTCGGGTCGTGATGAACAGCTAGAATCGGTATAAGAAGCTCGGTCCCGGACGGGATGTGGAGCCCGCCTAATTGTACATCGATCTTGGCTCGTCTGATAATTGCCACTGCTGGTGGGTACAATCTTAGAGATTCATTCAGAATCATTCCCAACTGCAAATGGGGTTCAAGAAAATTATACAAAAGGAATAGTGAAAGAACTAATTATCTTTGTAATATATATATATATATATATATATATATATATATATATATATA